AGCAAGAATTTCTGATGACAAAAGCTTGCTTAAATGTTGATGACGTTATTTACTAGTGACTTTTTGATGTATCGGAGTTAACGTTCTAGTCGTATGTGACTTTCCAGTGACATAATTCTGCATGCATTACCCCCTAAATCGTATATGCTTCTCTACCAGTCTCTATAGAATCACATCATAAACCAAATAGGGTGGAAAATCTGCTCTCCATTGCCATTGCCATATCAAATTTCATGGCGGTGACGCTGTAGTGTTTTTCTCAGCCACTGCATGCACTAGGGAAATATGCAGCCGTCACATGTCCAGCAAAAAATCCGTAATCTCGAGGAGTCGAATAAGGAAGAGGTGGAAAATGCGAATTCTTCATTGTATCTGTGTTGTACAAATATCACCACTTTTTTTAAAGGTAGTCATAAGTGACTACAAGTTGCTGCTTTGTTACATTAGAAAATACGTGTGTCTTGGAAAAAAAAGCATATGTATGATGTTTTTTTTTCAAAAGTTTCTAGAAAGGGGCATAGCTCGACAAATGATACTCAAGTGCTCAACCGTTGCACTAATTTAGTTAGATTTGTCTTTTCTTGTGAGAAAACTATCACCTGCTATTATTCTCCTACTTCTATCCTTCTCTGTTTTATGTTTGTTTTCAATTTTTTCTTACTTCTGCTGCGCTGGACCAAGTTTAACATTTACGAAGGTCTATACGATTTTCATTAGTTACAGCTTTCAAATACTCGGCTTTGGCTTATCTTCAATAAAAAAATACTCTAGCAATGTGTAAAATTTGAAGCGATGGCTCCTCACTCCCCACTAAATCATAAAAAAGAAAATAAACGTGGAATTAATTTTTAGCCACTTGTGCACGAGCCCCATTAGAGTAGTCATGTAACAGCCAAGTTTGGAATAACCTCCTCAAAATTGAATAGGCGGTGATTAGATATAGAAAAAGTGCCTAGATAATGAAGTAAAAGTAAGGTTTGAAGACGTAGTATTGAGGTTGTAGAAATTCTCCGCTTGAGAAAACAATCGTTTATCCGAACATTGCCCATTCACAGCAGAAATTTTCGAAGTCGCGAAAATTTTCAACCATTCTCTTATAGTGAGACCATTGGCGGACCGAGGAGTGGGGGCGGGCGGGAGTTGAGGGCCCTCGCCCCGAAAATGGGTCGCGAAATTTTTGAACTTTACTTACATGGGTCATAAAAATGTGCAAGTGACTTTTTTATTCTTGTAAACAGCGGTAATAATTTCTTAAATTTTTTTGAAAATTCAAATTAACCTTGTAACAAAAATATTTCGGAGTGCGAGGCTAAGGTCAAGCAACTTCATTCGAAAAAATTTTTTGCTCTCCCCCCCCCCCTCTCCCCGGACGGAAATCCTGCAACCGCCACTCAGTGATACTGCGCAGTTCTCTTGTTCTTCTGTTTTCTCGGCTACACTTTCACTGACAGAAGCAGGCAGATAAAACTAGTTAGTGTGCTTTCACCCACATCTGTCAACTGTCCTTCGCCCATCGCTCTCTTTTCGGGATATAGCAAGAAAGCCTTCGCTGTACTAGTAGGTGTGCTTGTACAGAGACTTCTTTTTCATCCTTGATAGTTCCCACCTTTACAATCCGCAAAAAAGACCCTGTCATTTTGTAGCAACAAATAGTATTAATCTTGCAACCCTATCCAAACAGGGCCCGGCACGAGGTGAGCAAACGGGGTTTTCCAAAACGAATTCCCCTTTGATCCCAATAAATTTTACGAATACCCCCTTGAGCCCAAAAATGACGTTTTGTGCTTGTGCGACGAGATTACTGGCCACACTTCGCCTAAAAGCGCTCAAAAGCGCCCAAATTGCTCAAATTCCTCAAATTACTCCTCAGCTGTATCAAGATAGGAAACAGGAAGAAAAATAAGCAAGAAAAATGATTAAGGAATGAGAAAATATCAAAGAAACGCAGTCATAGGAATGAGAGTCGCCGTTCCCGTGGTATCGATTGACTGGGGCGCGCTTTCCATCTTAGAAAGCTAGGCTGTTGATGCGATTTTGGGCTCTAACAAAGACAAGAGGAGGAGTTTCGGAACCAAAATTTCACCATGTAGTAAACTTTAGGTGTACAAAGTTTTATGTAAAAATTTTGAAAAAAATTATGTGAATTGAGAGTTTTGCCGACCTCAGGTGGGAATTAGGTCGGCAAATGCCGACCTAATTTGGAAATTAGTTAAGCACGCTCTTCATTCACATAAGTTCTTCATAATATTTCATACTTTATTACTTAGTCCTATTGCGCATATACACACCGAATCCCGCGCGATTTCGTTACCTCTGCGTTGCGAACGAGCCATTATTCCATTTCTTTGGTAGCGCAAAATTTTCAGAAAAAAGCTTGCCACAACCTTCAGTCACATATTTTTTCAACGAAATTCCTCAGTTAAGCCCTGCAAGCCCGTGTGCATGTACTTACCAAGTTTCATACCATATCGTTCATCTGCGCGTTTAAACGAGCCGTTTGAATTCACATCTTCATTTACCAGTTTTGCGAAATTCTCGGAAGAAATGCTAATTACTCGTTCCGTTCACATAAGTTTTTCATAATTTTTCATACTATGTTTCCACTAGCCTCTCTCCGTTCGCATACAAAATTTGGTGCCATATCGTTACACATACATTGAGAACTAGTCATGTATGCAGTTACAAATAGCATCGCTTGGGCGAGTCGCGCCTGCGGCAATCAGCGACGGCGCGGTTTGACGCGCGCGAACTCCAGTGTTCGCCTGTTGAGGCACATAACATGTCAAGATAAGTAGCGAGCATGAACTACCAATTTTTTTCCGGGGCTTCGCCCCGGACCCCGCAAAAACGATTACCCCTTTGTTTTTTGGCCCCAAAACGATTTCCAGCTTGTCATTTGCCGACCTCGTGCCGGGCCCTGTATCCAAAGAGTATCTTTAGAAGATTAAAGGCAGTGTCTCACCAAAATTTAGTTGCAGAGTTTTTTGCATTTTGCAAGCCTGTCGGACCCTGTCTAGCACGGTATGGGCCTAAAATCACACGAAGTTCTCAAAAACCCCGTTTTCTGGAGGCCCCGCGGAAGCAACGTGGACGAGTTGTACCTTCCACCTTCCGCCAACTTCAGCCTCAGCCACAGTGGCAGCAACACAGGGGAGGTGGATGCCAAGTGGAGGGACGTGTTCAAACGCGTAAGGGGGAAGACCGAAGGAGTCGTCCGCGCGTACCAAGTCGCTCTTCGCGTACCACTTTGAGCGATTTTTTCTTAGCGTGGAGGGGGTCAAATTGAGTGGGACTTATTGCAGTGGCCTATTTAAAGGCCTCTATAATAGAATATGTAAAAATCCGCGCAACCTCAACTTTGGTGAGACACTGCCTTTAAGTACTTTTTGTGGGTAAACTTTCCGATTCTACGTCAAAATCGCAATAACACTGAAGGTGTGCAAAAGTTTCGCATGCCATTCTATTTACCAGATTAAATCGAAAGCTCTGTCGCATCAAATTCAAAAATCATAACTTCTCTATTTTACGACACTCTTGCATGGCATCAATATTCTGAAGGAGTAAATCACTTCTAATAACACCTTGATTACCCCAGTTACAAAACTAAGAATGGAAAAGGAGATCATTCAAGGCTTGGTTATTTTTGACAGGCTCCGTAAAAATCTATGCGTTAGATACAAAAAGTGTGCGATACGATACGAGATTATATCCATGACTTTTATGACCTCATCTTTCTAATGAGCTTTTCTATGAAAATTGCGATTTTCTAAAAACAGCAAAAAACGGGAGAGGTGCTTATTGGCAATTTTCTCGAAATTTATAGTATTTCATAGAAGTTTGACAGCATTTTACCTATACTCTTGATAGAATAAGCACCACAAAAGTAAACCAATTTGGCCCACAAAATAAATCTGTAGTTTGGAGAAAATTCATAAAAAATCGGCATTAATTCATTGCGAGTATCAAGTTGGCTTCATTGCTATAAACAATAGGCTTTTGTCTATCAGCTGAAACCTTGATACACATCTCCCATGTAACGTTTATCGTTTGAGCTTTGCAATATTCACTCGTAGAGCGAAACGGCAAGTCCAGTCTGATCAAAAATGGCCATGAGGTTTGACCAATTAAACAGGAAGCGCCGTCTGCAAACATCTTGTGGCCGGAACACCTGTTCACGGAAATGTGATCGTCGGTTTGCATTGTTTTATTGAAACTTCCTCACTTCGCTCACCTCAAGCTTTTTGTTGACTGCTCAGCCCTTAAATTTCCTGATTTCGCGAATTTTTATACCACAACGATTTTTCAGAAAACCCTGTTTGCATTTAGAAATTTATTGATTACTTGACTTTAAGAACTGGAGGTTGATGGTTGAAAAGATTACTCAAGACAATAAGTTCATAATAAAAAATGGAAAGCTGCGTTTATAGTCTAGCGAATCAAACTGGTAATATGTGCAATTGCACAAAAAGGAGCCGGAGTTGCTTCTGAGACTCACATCTCTCCAGTCCCATATGCGTCATTCCCTTTTTTATTATCTATGACTTTTTATTTATATATTTCATGTCTCTCTCACATTTTTCTTTTTTTGCGAAAAGATTGCTGACTGATATATCTGTTTGCTTATGTGTTCTACACTTCATCAGAGCTGATAAGAACGCCAATCAACATTCTGCAATTGCATTCTTTACCGCCAAATCGACCTGACGCGTCTACGAGCCCAGAATGTTTCACTGCTCTTGATTCAAACATTTTCACATCTCCTTTCTTTTTAATTTGCCTTTGTATAGCTTATGAGCACACGAAATCCTATAAAGAATGGACTTCACTGTCAGTGTAATGGTTTTTTTTGTGCGAGTCTGCCATGGCTACCCGCTGCCTCGCCGCTCCCTTTGTCCCCTCGATTGATCGAATCTCTCCAAGCGTGCACTTCCGATCTTTTTTGGACACACAGCTAAGTAAATCCTCCCATGGGAAAATTCTGCTCACTCCCTTAAGCCACGATGAAGAAAAGATTCGCTTCAGGAGTAGCGATGGTGATGTCTTGCCTCAGGTGGGTTCCCATTGAAGCATCTCTTATCGTCGGTCATAGGATTGTGACGTCATTTTGGACGCGAGTTAGAAAAAATTAAGAATTTGATCGCTTACCGTATATCTACCGTAATCTCACGAGAGGGACACATGGAGTCACTGTGTTTTCTAGGTGTTTGTTTGACATTTCAAGAATCACCAAAGATTTGCGCATGAGAATCGTCAACATGCTGATCTAGTGACCCCTCCAAGGCTCGGCGCAGGTGGCTTATAAGCAAGCTGGATATTGTTTTTGGGACAAAGGGCAAAGGGGATATTATTTTGTGGTTGAAAAGACACAAAAATTGATACGCTTTTTTTAGTCGACTTTTCGTTTTAAGGATTTTTTTACTTATGGTTTAGGGTCAAAGAGGAGTTTTTGAAATCTTGGGAAATCGAGAAAGACTTAGTTTTTTTTCGCATTTTCGGAAAGCCACCTCCCAAGCCCTGGATTCCTCCCCTCTTATGCATCACAGGAATTCTTTGCGAAATTACTGTAGACATAAGGCGACAAGATAGGTTTTGATGAAACTTTGCATGATAGGAAGAGGGGAAAGGGGGTGGATTTATTGGTATGCTAATTACAGATAACATTTTTATTCGTTACTGTGGGTTTTGTTATTACAGTGAATTTTGCTGATGGTCTCCATCCTGTTACCATAAGACAGTGTCTACAGTTGTGCGCGAGCCAGCACCGTTCCAAGGCAGCGCCGTGGATTGTCAGCGCCGCGCCGAAACTTGCGGAAAGCACCGCGTATATCTGACTGGTTTGCTTCAGCTAACTAGCCAAGATTGCTACAGCAGTATTTATTTGAAAAACTGGCGTTTCGGCTTCTACATTATTGTTACTATTCGTCTCTAGTATGCCTTATGACCAGGGTCAAGCTTGTGATGCGACTGTCGCAACGGGGGGTCGTAAAGAGGGTACCTAAGGTGGGAGGGGGGTCGTAAGAGAAGGTATTTAGGCTAAATATCATAAGCTTAAAAGGGAATCAAAAAGCAGATGATTCGTTATGTTCTTTACAATAAAGTTATAAAAAAGTGGAAATCAAAAAAAGATAAGAAAATCTGTAGAAATTTTCAAAAAAAAAAAAACATTTGCAAGAGCTCAGAACACTTTTTGAAGGATGTATTATTTGATAAGAATGCTAAATGTACCGATTGCCCTAGAAATCTTGCTTCTGAAGCCCTCCTGAAGTCTCACACACTCGACAAAAGCGAATATCTTTACCAGCTGTAACCATCATGAATTTCTAAATCTTTTGTAATATTTTTCACGGGGTCCATATGATTTATCTGTACTTTAGATAAGCCCTGCTACTGCTGTGCGAAATCTGGTGTTATTTTCTAAACTGTGGATTTTCTTATGATTTTATGTATGGTAGCAAAAAATGAGAAAAGGGGGGTCGTATCTGGGTCGCATCTAAATTTCTTCGGAGCTATTGAAGCTTGTTGGCTGCAATTCTGCTGTGATATAAGGCCATCCTCCTACTTTATCTCATAAAAATTGCAGGCTGTTTAATAACTTCTCTGGTAAGTTACAAAATTTTAAGCTCAAAAATCCCAGTTTTTGCTTTTTAGGATCGCATCTAAATTTGCGAGAGTCGCATCTAAATTTTTTCGAGCTTACTGCTCCTCAAGAGCAGAAACTTTTTCTATGGATAGTCTGTGCGCCATACTACAGAACCTATGCTTCGCAGCCTCTCAGTCTTTTTCTGGCCTTAGTTACGAATTTTCAAACTACCGTGCTCATGCACGTTTTTGACATCGTTCTGGACGGCGCTCAAGCGGTTTTTTTCGCGGGAAAAACTGTGGAAGAGGTAGGAAGTAAGCTTCTTAGTCGAAAACATTTTTTTTGTAGTTCAAGAATGTCATTTTTTTCTGCGTGCAAAAATTTGTTTCGCCTACGGGAATCGAATTTGCTGGCCTGAAGTATGCCTGAAAATTCAAAAAGAAACTTGCAGATTCTCAAACTTATTGAAGGTATGTATGTGTGCTACAGATGCTGGACGCACTTTTTGGCATAGAAATTCTGCTTCTGAAACCTCACTGAAGTTCTCACGCAGGTGTTTTTTGAGATTGACATTCGTTTATGCAGGTTACCGCGAGGAATGTGGGCAGGTAAGAGGGATAAATGGAGGAGGGTGGGGGGAGGGGGAGGAGGGTCGTACGGATGGGTACCTTCAAGGGGGGGTCGTAAATGAGGGTCCAGGATCGCATCAACACGCTTGACCCTGCTTATGACCTTCCGCAACCTTTGGAGTCTCAGCACATCTTGGGTTGTTCCTTTACTTTATATTTATCGTAAACTACCAAAAGAGGCGTAACTTGTGGCGAATGTGTTTTCGGACCACATCATTAAGTTTGGCTCCTCGGTTGAAACGTGTGACGACTTTAGAATTATGAAGTTTATGCGATTTTGTTCCATCATTTCCCGCCACCTCCCAAATTTTGCCCTTTCTCTGCCCTAGATCGATTTCACTTTGAGGATCAAACATGTAGAATCATATCGGTCTGAGAGGTAATCCTAAAACATTCAAATGTAGTCAACCGTATAAAAGTTATGGATATTCGTATCCAGACTGGGACTAGTTCTCTACACTAAACGATTCACTGTGCAAGTTTTTTTTTGACAACTGCAAAGTGGAGCGGGGCAGCACAAATCGGAACGTTTTCTCTTCTTTGCACTTTCTGTAACATAAGGAAATTTTGGTTTTTGACGATGATCAATTACTCGTTTACTTTACATTCAACCTCATCTAACATTAATTGAAGGAAACTATCAACCAGACTCGCTCTCCTCGCCTCATCCCTGTAGAAGGGCTACAAAAAATGTTTGATGTGCCCTACCAGTGCTAGGAAATTTTACAGCTACCTTATCAGTTTGTGAGCAGTTGATATGATTATATTGCAATTTTATGATCGCTAAGTAGCTTTGAGAAAAATATAGGACTTGGCTGCCACCGCATTCCCTTTTTGGCACATTTACTAAGCTTCCAAAAGTCGAGAACGTCCAAATTTGCGCAACCTCATCCGAAAAAGTTGCTGCATATTCCCCCCCCCCCCCTCCTCCCTAGCTTTCTCAAATATTTTTAAAGACGACCACTTGTTGTTTTTACTTTCGAAATTGAGCAAAAATGAGTATTTGCTCTTTTAAAAACCTGCGCTCGTGTACAACTGGAAAACCAAAACGTCGCATTCTGGCCTGCAAAATGCATAACTTTTCAAATTTTAGACGTTATCGGTACAGGACCTACCGGGCAAGCAAATTATCAGAACTCATGAAAAAAAGTGACATACCCTATACCACAAAGTGTACTGATATATTGTTATCTCTTGCAGACCATATATTGACTGAGGTGTCCGTTGACAACGATTTGAAAATAGCAGGATAAGACAACCTTGCTATATTTTTTGGGCTGTGAAATATTATTGGATAAAATTTGCAACGCACAATAATACGGTTAAGAAAAGCTGTCTTGTTTACTATACCCACGACCATTTCAAGTCACTGAATCTCAAACCTCCTCCCCCTCGCCCCCCCCCTCCTCCCCTTCGAAGACAATTTTCGCTTCAAAGTTTAAATCTTTTTTTTCTTAACCAATGTCAGGTGGTTGTCACAGCTTGTTATGCACACTTAACTACTTTTCTATGGATACTAAACCTTCTATCAACCACTGAGGGTTACAAAATATTTTATTTTTGCTCTCCTAAACTTTAGCTCAGGCTGCAGAATTTTCGAGAATATTTTTGTGGATCAATGAAGTCAAGCGATTGAACTAAAATGATTGGCCTCTATTGATTATGAATTGTTCTGACCTACTGTTACTCAGACAAATGACCGGAATTCCGCAGAGCGCTTGCGAAAGTTCCGCCGGGTCGCCTGCGGAAGTTCCGTAAACGTGCTGCGGAAGTTCCGAAATGAGACCCTGCGGAAGTTCCGAAGAATGCCAATCACAACAGCAAAAGAGAACACAGAAGCGAGTTTGAACCTCATTCTATTGGCTGTGAGACCCATCTACTATCCTCTACGCTACGGCTGACATGTTCGATAATGCACTCTAGTCGTTGGCGAGGCAACATCACGAGACAACACATTCAAAGTCCTGCGAAAGTTCTGGCAGGCCAAAGTGCTGCGGAACCTCTGGCATTTTTCGGAATTTCCGCAGGGCTTTGAAGAATGTTTTGCGGAAGTTCCGGTTTTCAACCAGTTTGGCATGAAGATCTCGCGGAAGTTTCGATTTTCAATGTTTTCATTTTTGCAATAGTGAACAAAATCCTGCGGAAATTCTGCAATTTGGCTTGTCCTGCGGAAGTTCCGCTGATTTGTCTGAGTATATGTAAGTTTTGTTGTGTCATGTAATTCGACTTTATCCCTTACTTTTTGTTTGAAAATGAAATTGTAAACAAAAAATGGACTGTTCAGTAACGGAATGTGAATTAAGTAGCAATTTTAGTCTGTTAGAGCAAATTTGGTCTGAAGTTAGTGAAATAAATTGATTTAGCTCCTTGATATCCTATTCAATATTTGAAAAAAAAATGTTTCTTCTGCCACACAAAAACTATGCTTCAAAACAATGAATCGGCTGAATGCGTTGCGTTTCGCATTCATCATATCCTATTTTTTCATTCCAACAAAGAAATAGGCCATTTATTGGTTGATAGAACATCCAAATATTACAATGTTGTTACAGAAACTTTGTCACACTCATCAGAAAAAATTTTTACAACTTTCCCAGAGGATTTCTTCCTTATTTTAAAATTATGCAGACATTTTACGCATGAAGAATACATTTTTGAATTTTTTGAAACTTTTCAACTTGCATTTCTGAAAAGCTTGAGCTTCCGAGCTGCCTTTATGCTATTATACTACTACTACAAATGGTCTTGAAAGTGCATAAAAAATCTGATTCATGAAAAAGAAGAATGAGAAAATTTGGAAAAATCAAGGAAAATGGAGTATGGAGTGCGGTTAGAAAATGC